GCATTCTCTAAATGCCCTAAAAAATATTGGTCTTTGCATGGCATAAATACATGTATAAAGATTAGAAACCCATTCATCAAAGAATTATCCCGGAGAGTCACCTTTTCATCTTCCAATTGAAGACTTTCCTTTTTTTATTATTCTCAAAGGAAAGTAGTCATATTATTCTTCGGAAAATATTATACGAGCTAAATTGATATTGAAGGAGTACACCCACTGGCATATTAAAAAAAAAACAAAAATCACTTATTCAATCATTTAGCCCATGTTTGGTACACATTATTTCAAAATACATTCTTTCAAAACTCATTTTCAACGTCAATAACTTTTCGTTACTTTTTAATCACATATTTCTCATCATATCACTATTTAAAAGATACTTTTTCTCAATAATATTCATCAAACACACCCTAAGGGCACCTACATTTTTACTGTAATGGCCGGAAAGTTTCTAAAAATATGCCCCAAAATGGCTACCAAACATAGGCTTAAATCTTTTATTCAATATAAAGGTGTTAAATCTATTATTGCCAGGAGAAATCTAAATGTCTTAGGATAGTAAAACTATACTAGTTGTTGACATACAAAAATGAGACTCAATTAAATGGTCCAAGAAATGGGGCCCAATTGGGGAAATTGATGGATATGCTCAAATGAGACCATTGTAAAATATAGTGGAGGCCCATAAACGGAGGACTATCATCGCCTAAGCCTGCAGGGCTCCCAAAATCAGAGCGAATGGAGTACATTATTGTCGCTCAAAGCGACGGTCCCATTCTCGCCCAAGTTTTCGAAACGCCCAAGATCTGAGTAAACATAGCGTCTTGTTGTTATTTAAAGCGGCGGTTATTAAAGCAGTTATTGAGCAAACTTATCATGTTCCACGATTCAAGAATCTCGGTTGCAAGCAGTTAAAAGAGGAGAGCAATAGCAGCAATTTAAGAACGGCGATTTCTTGAAACGTCACCCATTACGAAGCAAGTGGGTAGTTAGAGAGCGACGAGCAGTTTCCAAACGGTTTTACAAGAAAAACTGGCAAATAAGTATAAAAGGAAACAGAAAATATAGAAGAAAGGACCTCGAATCAATCACTGTCAAATAGAGAATGTGTAATTTCAAATCACTTTGTTTGCTTGTGTCCCTTGGAAGCGTTTTGTTTCTTCTTCATTGTAATCTTCATAAATAAATTAACTCGAATCTATCACTGTCAAATAGAGAATGTGTAATTTCAAATACCTTTGTGTGATTGTTTCCCT